GACATATAATTCAACTTTCCCAAAATACCCCTGACTTGCACAAGCTATAACTTGAGCTTCACATATCAGATGAAGGCATACCATACCTTTTTGGAAAGGGGAGATCATGAGGAACAACTCTTATGTTTGCCAAGAATTCATTTGAAAACTCCTTGAAGGTAAAAAGTTGCTTGGATGACAGACAAATTTTAGTGTCCTCAGATGACCTGTAACTTGCACGAGCTATAACTTGAGTTCTATAAATCATCTTGATGACTTACACCACTCAAATTAAAGCTATGAAGATACTCTACAAGTTTCATGTGGACCAGAAATTCATATGAAGCTTGCATCTTGAGTTACACTGCTTGGAAGTTTGACCTAGATCAGGGGATTTTACACTGAAACCCTAATTTGGTAATTTCACTTCTCCTTGAATTCTTTTGATTTTTCTTTGGCACAACACCACATCCATATCCATGTAGCAAATAATGAATCCCACATTCTTCAAATGAGCCTTGATGTCTTTCAAAACAAGTCTTTGACCTAGGGTTGCCCTAGATAAAACCCTAGTTGACTGACTTCAACTGAGGCTCTTGCAATCATTCCAATGACTTGGTTACTCCTAAAAAATGATCCTCTAGAATTTCCAAAACATCCATACACACTCCATGCTCTTGGCTCATAGCTCATACACCCTCTGATGACCCCCAAACATTCTCAAGATAGGAGAGAACTCACTGATCAACCTGTCAACTCTTTAAAGTTCAAATTCTTCTATGATGACCTGAGTAGTCTTGAATATGAATGAAACCCCTTGAATATGCCTCTTGAGACAAGAATGGTACTTGATCCCCTGATTAATATTAGCTTGCCTATGCTATGCAATGCAGATGAATGCACTATGTACATGATGACAACGCAAATGACTATGCAATTGAAACATAAACCTAGGTTAGAAAAGGTTGGGCAAATTTTGGGGTGCAACATTCATTTGTTTAATTATATGTATTTTTATTTTGATTAAGCATAATTAGCATGTACGAACTTGGTTATTTTGGAATAATTAATGCATAATGTTTGTCTTGAATAAATCCATTCGTTTCACTCATTAAAAATATTTTTTTAAACTTATAATGCCAATTTTACCCAATCTCTTGCTTTGGTATAGAATTGGGAGGAGGATGATGAACCAAACACATCAAATCTCTTGTCATATGCTTCCAATTGAAACCTGCTGATGATGTAAGGCATTGTTTCAAATCCCAAACATTGGAGATATAAGGATGATAATCCCTCTTTAACCCCTTCGAGCTGTGAAGTAGGAGTTTTCTTCTTTTCCAAATTAAAACCCTTATTTTAACCTGGGGCAGGGTAGTTCTTCAGCTAAATTGATCGAGCGCTCAGACTCTCAAAAAGGAGGAGCGGACCTTCGGAAGAACCCTAAAAGGCTTAAATTCATCATTGGCCAAGTACTACCGGCGAACAAAAAAAGTTCCAACGGCAGAGGATCAGTTCATTCAACATCATCGCCGTTACTGTAACCTTTCTTTTTCCTTTGATTTACATCATTTTACTATTTTTCTATGTTGTTTTGTTCATTGATTATAGATTAAAGAGAAGATGAGGAGAAAAGACTATGAACCATGGAAGACAACCGTCGCCGGTTAGGAATAAGAAGGGAAAAGGTTTTTTTCCCAAAACCCAAAAAAAAAGGGAAAAGGTTTTTCCCAAACCCCCAAAAAAGGAAAAGGTTTTTTTCCCAATACCATCCACATATCCTCACTCCTTTTATTTCTATTTCTATTTCGTTTTTTATTATATTATCTTATTATTTCTTTCTTTCTTTTTTTTAACTGTAATTAGTAATCACATTATGTTTTAATTTATTACTAACACTTATTTTTTTTATTATTAAAACCTTTCTATTAAAACCTTTTCCTTTTATTAAAACTTTCTTTTTATTATTAAAACTTTTTTTATAGTAAAACCTTTTTTAAAATTAAAACCTTCTTTTTATAGTAAAACCTTTTTTAAAATTAAAACTTTTCTTAAACTAAAACGCTTTTTTGAGGATGAAAGCCTTTGTGTTTCAAAAATCAAAACCCTTTTTAAAATTAAAACCTTTTTTTATTTTAAAACTTTTTAACTAAATTAATACTAACATTTTTCAACACTAGACTTAAAATTATTTTCATTTACTTACAAACCCTTTCATTCTAATTTCTAACCTAAAAGTCTAAAAATAAAAAATTCCCAGCATTCCCGTTAATTATCATCTGACTTTTATTGGCTCTCATTTTGGCCGTTGCTAATAATCCTTTATTTTTTCACATTTATTTTTATGGTTGTAATTTATGTGAGGACATCGTCGCTTTTATTTCGTTATTATTTTTACATTCTTTGGGTTGTAATTTATGCGAGGCTATCATCGCAGTTTTATTTTTGCATTTTAGGATTTCTAATTTACGCGAGTGATCGTCGCGATGCTTTCTTTTACCGCTTTCTTTATTTTTCCGCACTTTAATTCTGCCGAATAGTAATTTGCCGTATTTTGCATGTTTTTACCGTTAGAATCCCTTCCGAAGGATTAGGTCTAGTCGTTTGACCGCCGAGTCAATAACCCTAAGTCTTGACCGTTTCCAAAATCCTAATAGCCTAGGTGTCCCGCCGTGGACGAAAAATACCCTTTACCCTAGCTTTAGGTCAAAGAGTCGTCGTACTCTGTTTTAGGGTTTTTCGCCGTGGAATCCCTAATTTCAACCCTAATTTTAATTCAACTTTTCAACGTAGAAATAGGAGTTTCAAAACCCCACGTAAGCGTGTCCTTAAGATACGTTTACTCCCCTTGAATCCTTGACCACAGTCAAGAAGTTTCTAACCTCCTTTTCGAGGGGAACTACAATTACTCTGATTCCATTCCCTATCCAGGATACGTAGGCACAAGATGCGATGTCTTGCCAAGTAAACTTAGGACTAACCCTTAGGTCTTTAGGTCACTCTATCCCTTAGCTCAATATATATTCAAACAGATAATAAAATAAAAAAAGCATACAATAAATAAAAGGTTCCTGTAGAGTACTACAGAAGTTTAGGGTGCTAGTACCTTCCCTAAGCTTAACCAACCCCTTACCTAGGTCTCTCCCCGCATTGTGTTTAGATGCAAAAAAATAGGTTTTCCCTCTTTTGACCTTTTCCTTCGGATAAATCCAAGAGCGGTTGTGAATTAAGAATTGTGATTCAAACTAATTAATAGTTTGATATCATATTTCCACCGCAACAGATATTTTTAGAAACTTCAGACTTGTTCAATCAGAATATTGTCTTCAGAATCTTCAGAATTTGTTCAGCACATACTTGTCTTCAGAGTCTTCAGAACACTACAACAAAAATGGCTTTTGGCAACAACTCAAAACCGCAACATAAAGTGAAATAACCGTAGCCTAAAGCTTTAGGTGGCGGTTTATCAGACGTGGAATAAACGGCTGTTGCCTATTCCTTTAGAGCGCAGTTTTTTATTTTTAACCACGAATTCAAAACACCGCCGCCTAAATCATCAAATTCCACGGTTTTGGTTGTAGTTTTAGGCTGCGGTTTTCTAGTAACAACACAAAATAACCGTCCCCAAAATATGAAAATATAACGGTTATAAAAAAGCAGCAAATGAAAACCGTAGCTAGTTTATAATTTCATTTAAAGAACCGCGCCTAAAACTTAGGAAAAGTCTACAGTTTTTAATAAGTAACCCTTAAAGAGCGTTGCCTATAAATTGAAAAATATTTGGTAAATATTAACTTTAAACTTAAAGATATAATTATTAAAAAATTTCCTATTCATTTATATGGTGATACATTTCAGCCATAAACCTTCAGTTTATTCTAATATAGTATAAGTCAATATTATTAATTAAATGAGAAGAAACACATGTATAAATTAATCAAAACATATAAATATGAAGTATTAATAAGATGAAGTGTAATAAACACTTTGAAATGTAAGAACAAATATTTTCAAAATAAATCCAAACTCTTTGAAATATAATAAACTAATTAGGTGGTTTGTGTAACTCCATAAATCCAAACTCTTTGAAATATAATAAACTAATTAGGTGGTTTATGTAACTCCATAAAATAAAAAATAATTGTCTATATTTGAATAAGTGAAGGTCTTCATCATATTCATTGTACTGAGGATCATGAGAATCATCATCTTGAGAACCGTCAACTTGATCATATTGAAGATCGTCATCTTGATCATATTGGAGATCGTCATCAAGATCATAATGAAGATCATCATCATCTTGAAGATCGTCGTCATCTTGGAGAACGCAATCTTGTTCATCTTCATTTCTAACCTGTAAATATGAAGAATAGTCAAATTTAAACATTTTTACTTTGACCATGAAAAATGACAATACTCACATACATATACATAATAAACACATAGTAACACATAACACATAATACTAAACTAAACAAACATGTTTCATTTCGTTCTCTAAACATTCTAAGACTATGTGATCAATAGAGTTAATTAATTGTCATCACTGATTTTTCATCAATATGAGTAATACTACCATGACTGATCTCATACTTACAATTCTTCCATCATATTAGTAGCAAAATTTGGTAAGAAAATACTAACTAATCCTAGGGGAGAACTCGATATAAGCAACATAAATTAGTATACTAAAGAAATACCAACTCAACACTTAGTAAAATAAATGCCAATTTTAATTAATATCAATTGTAGTATCTTTTGATGAGCAGGAGCATAGGTTGATGTCGATGAGCGCGGTGTTGGAATATTATCATTGTGCAAGGCTTCTCATCTTATCGTTTACTTCCTCTTCACTTAAATATGGATTTTGTTGCATATACATGCTTTTCAAAAGTGCCTCCATTGCTCCCATCTTTTGTGTCATGTTAGAAAATTTACCATCATATTGCATTTTTATTAAAGAAATTTCTTCATTTTTTTTCAACAATGATGGTGTAACAGTTCTTCCATAACATGTCACTCTACCGGGTTTTTTTTTCAAACAGTGATTGAAATGTTTGTGTTCCAGCTTCAGTTGAAGTTTCAATAGGTTCTTGAAGTTTATCCTAATATATCAAACTATCATTTTTGAACAAAATTAAAAACTACACGTGCAATTAAAATGGATATAATTTAACTTACAATCACAAATTGGCTTTCCTCATCCACTTGTTTTCCCTTGCGAATTTTTCGAGTTTCAATAAACATCTCAGCTTGAGTGACTTCTTGTCCATCCTTGTTTTCCCGCTACATTATTATTCATATATTAAAAATATAAAATATTAGTTAATAAGAGATTGAAAAAACACATTATTCGATTGAGAATCACACACAAATACCATACTATTTTTGCACGAATTCTAGCAAAATTTGTCGGTCCTACACGATGCATAAACTTTTGCTTGCTCCTATTAACTGCATTCTTTTGGCTAATATCCTATAATAAAAAAAACAAAAATTGGGTTGTTAGCCAAAAATATATGTCTCAATACTTTTTTGTGGGCTCCTGCTCAATACTTCTTCGAAAAATATATGTCTCAACACGAAGACCCCTTCATCTCATAACTATAACAAATAGTTCATAATAAGATATAGCTCATCACACAAACACACACATGATTAACAACTAACACAATTTTTTAATAAATATCTATAATTTGGTAAAATAAGTATAATACATAGGTCATTAGCTTCATCAACAATGGGTAGAATCGTTTTGCTTCACCAATAGTAGTAGTTATCCATAAATAATAATGTAATTAATGAGAAACAAGATACAAAGAAAATTATTACTTAATTAGACATTTTAGATTTTTAACATAGTTTGTGAGCTCTTGTTGATGTTGTTCCTACCTTAGTCGAAACTTGCAATAAAGACATAAGATAATATGTCTATTCTCTTTTTCCTCTCCCTGTTTGGCAAAAGATGACAAAAAAACTAATGAGATAATTATAGTGACATAAAACAGTGTGACACATACATGTATTTCTTAATTTCTTTTAACATGATTGAAACAAATCCCCTCACTATTTATTAATTATACATGTAAATAATACTTATACTAATCAAAATTACATATTTTCTCCTTATAATATACCGTATAATATATGTCTATAATCTTTGGAAGAGTAGATATGTAGCCAAAGTGTATAATAACTCAAAGCAATGAAGCATCGGCAAAGACACCAATGTGTATAATGGATGTTCATTTTAATTAGGCATTTCCATAATCAATTGAAGAATATAATTACATGTAATAATTCTGATTTATTTTAGAGGCAGTTCCAAAAATTCTTGAGCAAAATAAGTAACGTACTTGAATATGAGTATCTTTCCAATATAATAACAATTTCTTGAAATGAACTTCAGATATGCTCTTTGGACGGTGTTTTGATCTATCCTTCATATTAGAGTACTTTAGAAAATGATCTTTCTTGATAGAGTATTTGTGGCGTCTCCAAGCATCGTTTATTCGAGCATACACTGCTTTTTTTCCTCTCTCAGGAATGTTGAACTTCGTCTGCAAGAATAAAACAATGTTTGTCATCAGTTATAGATACTTGATCATTAAAAAATTATGAAATTTTACTTCTCATACATTAATATATTTCCAAATATGATAATTATGACGCTTAGGATCTGTTTCATCTTTAAGCAACTCTTTGAAATTTGTATAGATCATCGGACAAATATTTGCATTCATGGCTATAGTTCCGAGGAAATAGCCTAATTCAGAAACAGTTAGGTCATCAGGTCCAATTGGCTCTCCAAAGTCATCTAGAGTAACTTCTTGACGGTCTTTTACATCTCTTGCATATATTTTTAAACAACGCGTTGGTCCCCGTGTTCTTTTCTTAGTTATCCCTGTTTTGACATCAAATAATATAATGTAAGATAAATTATCAAATACACACACATATGAGTAATAAAATAAATTAATAATAAACTATTTTCTTGGTCTTAAATAAAATGAAACATCACCATTTTTTTCTGCGTCTCCCTCACATTCCACATTTTGTTCTTGCTCTTGTTCTTCTAAAACAATGTTTTCCTCATCTTCAATTAAATTTTCCATCTCCTTCTCAACATCTCTTCCATTTTTTTCAAGAAAGTCACCAATTAACATTGATTGGCACAAAGGACTTCTTTTTGTCTTCTTGCAAGCACTTTGTTGCCTTGCCATTGATTCCTCTTTAGCCACTACCATTTTCTTCTGTTGATCTTTTGCCCTTGAAATGTCATTTCCAAACATTTTCTTTTTTGTTGTTGATTCTTATTGTTAATTTCATGTTTTTCCCTTGACTCGTCTTCAACAACTATTCTCTTAGATTGTTCCTTTGACCTTGAAATGTCATTTTTAAGAGATTTATTTTCTGCAATTTGTTGTCTTTCCAACGGTCCATCTCCAATTACCGTTTTTTTTTCATGGATTGGCTATTTGGAACCTGAATATACATAGGCATAGATCTTCTAACTTGAGACAAAGACTGTCCTTTTGAATTTTGGATTTTAGAAACTAAAGGTTGATTCCTTTTAGAAATCAAAGATTGATCTTTTGGATCTTGAATCTTCAATCCTTTATTTGTTTTTAAAGATACTTCCCTCTCTATACTTTTTTCAGCATGAGTCTTAGGTAGTTTAATCCTACTTGCGTTATCTGAAACATTTTTCTTTGGCTCAGGCTCTTTGTTGGAAGTTGTTGCAAAATAGATAAATTGAATTGTGGAGTAGTTAATGGCTGGTTTTTTTTGTTCCTAAGAGCTTCAACTTCTGTTATAGGTGCACATATTTTTCCATGTTTGGTCTTTCTTTCCTCCAATTTGATGCTGAAATTCCTTGCCAATTCAAAACTTGATTTGACTAGTGGTAGCTCAAAACTGAAGCACCCCTCTGACCTTTCACATGACACTTCATATTTTTCTTGTTTTCTTCCTTGTCCATTTGTCCTATAAAATATTTAAACATAAAATTTATCATAATTAAGATAAAGCATTCTAGATAATTATAATAAAGCAGTAAGTATTTTGTCATAATTAAGATACAAAATAGTAAGAATTTTATTCCTTGTCACATTGATACAAAACAGTAAGCATTTTACCATAAAATTTATCATAATTAAGATAAAGCATTCTAGATAATTATAATAAAACAGTAAGCATTTTGTCATAATTAAGATACAAAACAGTAAGCATTTTGTCATAATTAAGATACAAAACAGTAAGCATTTTCTTCCTTGTCACATTGATACAAAACAGTAAGCATTTTACCATAAAATTTATCATAATTAAGATAAAGCATTCTAGATAATTATAATAAAACAGTAAGCATTTTGTCATAATTAAGATACAAAACAGTTAGTATTTTCTTCCTTGTCACATTGATACAAAACAGTAAGCATTTTACCATAAAATTTATCATAATTAAGATAAAGCATTCTAGATAATTATAATAAAACAGTAAGCATTTTGTCATAATTAAGTTACAGCTTTCATCCTAGGATTTTCATCCTTAGAGCTTGCAAAACTTGGAGTCAATGAAACCAAAGTTACACCTGAATTTTGAGTTTTGTGTCTTGCATCTCGTTTCATAGTATGGAATCTATATCCATTGATGAGGTAGCCTGAAAACCTCTTTGATGTATCACATGAACCTCTAGAGAAATCTTTCAGCTGAATTGATACATCATCTTTCAAGGCTCGAGTTTTAAACCATTCACTAAAATCGTGACTTAGGGTTTTGGCCTTGACCCACCTTCGTCCTTTAGTTTGACTATTGACAATATCATCATGTTCCCTACAAAGATAATTTATCATCTATTAGAAAATAACACTAATGTGTGTGTGTGTTTTATAAATGACACTAATGGTCATGACTCTTGTAGCCAAACACTTTCTTATTACTAACTTGCACACACTTTGAAATGTTTGATGCAGTCCCATCTGGTAATTTGGCAGCCTTTAAAACACCACAAAAAATAGTCTTCTCACGTGCACTCATTGAAAAACAAGATTTTGCAATCTCTCCACGACCTCCACCAATCTCTTTTGGATGAAGCTTCTTTCTTATTCTCATGTCTTTCAAATCATAACGAGCATTAACATGATCTTTTGTCTTCTCTGGTATGTTTAAAAGAGTTCCAATAATATTATAAAATATATATTTTTTTCAATGTGCATCACATCAAGATTATGACGTAATGTATTTTCAACCCAATAAGGTAACTCAAAAAATATTGATTTTTTCTTCCATGGACCATCTTTTTTCTTCTTTTTTGTTTTACCAAACTCATTATCAAAATCTTTCAGGGTTTCCATAATATCTGTCCCTTTTAAGAAAGAAGGGGCAGACCTAAGTTCTTTCTTTCCATTAAAGGACCTTTTATTTAACCTCCAAGCATGGCTCATTGGTAAAAAGACACGATGACCCATGTAGCACATCTTGTGGCTATTTTTTAAATATGATGATTCAGTGTTATGATTGCAACACGCACATGCAAACCTTCCTTTGGTGTTCCAACCTGATAACATAGCATACCCAGGATAATCACTAATTGTCCATAGGAGTGCTGCACGTATTTTAAATGTTTGATTTTTTGAGGCACCATATGTGTCTACTCCTAATTCCCATAACTCCTTTAACTCCTCAATTAATGGTTGAAGGTACACATCAATGTCATTGTTGAAGGTTTCTACAATGATCATTGTCTTCCCCTTTTTCTTTTCTTCTTTTTCTTTTCTTCTTTCTCTTTTCTTCTTTTTCTTGCTATCTTTCTTTCTTCTTCTTTCTTATAAATATAACTGTTGGAACTTTAATTAATTAATGTTGGAACTTTAATTAATTAGAGTGGGAACTGGAAACATTTGTTGACAATTAATGAGCAATAAATGAACACAAGTGAGAACTAAGATAGAAGTGAATTTGAAAAGATTCATTTTAGTCCCACATTGAAGGGAATGGAAATATTAGTAGTGTTTATATATTCCAACTTTGTCTATTGGGTTGGGCCCTAAAGGGCACCCAATTTTGTGAAAGGAGTGAGGACACACCCATGACCAACAAGACACACACGCGCGCGCGCCGCCTCCGTCGTCCGTCCGTCCGGTCGGCCGGCTCGGTTCGGTTCGGTTCGGTCCGGTCTAGATGAATTATTTTTTTGGACCCGAATTTATATAATTTAATTATCATTAATTAATTAATATAATTCGGTGAAAAATTAATTAATAATAAATATTAATTAATTAAGAAAATAATTGGTCAGTAACTGCCAAATCTAGTCCTCCACGAATTTCTCATTCTCCCATTTTCTCCACTCCCCACGAATTTCTCCCCACTCAGGTGCAGGTTGCTGCCTATAAATACAGGGTAGAAATTCAAAAGTGGGTACATCGAATTTCACAAATTCACACGAATTTTGATTTCCTTCTTCTCTTCCTTTATTCTCTTCATCTACAATTTTTTCTTTTCTTGACTGGTTATTTGCGCCAGATACTAATTTAGAAAGGTGTATTTCTAGAGCGATTTATCAGTGTGCAACTGATAATCGTAATTTGAACGGGCTGTTTTATCCTGGAGGCGTCGTCGTAATTCGACTGCTTTGCATAATTTGGCAGTACGGCGAAACGTCTTAAAGAAAGCAACCTAGTACGCGACTCGTCCCGATAATTTCCTTGTGCCAAACTCAATTTTTAAATCCGAAAACAACAATTTTAAGACGTTTTAATAACTGCCATGGCAACTGAGGAAATTATCGGTACTACTGCGGCCGCTTCGGTCTCTGTCAAACCTTTTAGGTTTGAGGGTTCCAATTTCAAACGTTGGCAAGCTAAGATGAAATTTTTTCTTAACTCTGAAAAAGGTTGCCCACGTTCTGACTGAGGATATCCCGGTTGTCCCTTCTGCATCATCTGAACTACCTAACGGTAACTCACTTGCAGATTCAGACGGGATTTCCAAAATGTCTGACTCAGATGCTGCAAAAGCTAAGGCTGCAGCAGATGATCTACAGCTCCGAAAAGAAATCGCCTTATGGCACGAGAATGATTATCTGTGCAAAAATCACATTCTGAACAGCCTTGCTGATGATCTGTATGACTACTACAGTAGCTACAAGACTGCTAAACAGGTATGGGAGGCTCTGCAAAGAAAATATGATACTGAAGAAGCAGGTGCAAAGAAATTTGCTGTCAGCCGCTACTTGAACTACAAGATGGTGGATGAGAAGTCGGTGGAAGCTCAAAGCCACGTAATTCAGAAGATTGCTCATGAGATCATTACAGAAGGTATGCCCCTCAATGAACAATTTCAAATTGCTGTAATTATTGACAAACTGCCCCCTGGTTAGAAAGATTTCAAAAATGTGTTTCGTCACAAAACAAAAGAATTTTCAATCGAGAGTCTGATAACTCGCCTCCGAATTGAAGAGGAGGCTCGAAAACAAGATAAAAAAGAAGAAGTCTTAGTTGTGTCTAACAACAAAAAGAAATTTGTGCAGTTCTGAAGCCTACGGGCAAACCTTTAAAGAATCAGAACCGCAATGCTATGAACGAAACTAAGAATGGGAATCCCTCTAGGGCCCCATCGGCTCCATTTGCTAAGCAACGGCCACCACCTCAAAGAAATGATACTCCGGTTTTTCCTGCTACAACTGTGGGAAACCGGGCCATATGGCAAAGAAATGTAGGAGCAGGCCTAAACCTGCAGTTGGCTCAAATGCTCAGGTCAACCTGACTGATGAGCAAACTCATTGCCATGATCACTGAAATCAACATGGTTGGTGGAAGTGATGGTTGGTGGATAGACACTGGCGCCACTCGTCATGTCTGTTATGATCGTGATATGTTCAAGACATACATGAATGCTGAAGATAAGAAAGTGTTGTTGGGAGATGCTCACACCACTAATGTTGCTGGAATTGGAGATGTTGAGATGAAGTTCACTTCAGGAAAGACTTTGATCTTGAAGGACGTCATGCATGTTCCTGAAATTAGGAAGAATCTTGTTTCTGGTTTTCTTTTGAATAAGGCTGGGTTAGTCAAACTTTAGGGCAGATTTGTACACCATCACTAAGATTGGTATTTTTGTTGGAAAAGGGTACGCCACTGATGGCATGTTTAAGTTGAATGTTGATTTGAATAAAATTTCTCCATCTGTTTACTTTGTGTGTGACTTTAATATTTGCATGATAGACTTTGTCACGTTAATAAACGAATCATTTCTAATGCAAGCAACATAGGCCTAATCCCTAAACTAAAT